AGACTAAGTTCAACAAAATAAACTAACTACAGTTTATTCAACATCGAACACTGGAACATACTATCAGGATACAAACTGAAGAAATACATGACTTTAAGCTGGAATACTCTTCCTTATAAGTCTTAAAATCGAACGTGAAAGAAAACACATGAAGTCTAAAAATCGTGAGAACTTCATATAATGAGTATATCTAAAGGCCAAATTACTATACTATAGTTAGTTGATCTTCTGATAGCAGCAGAGAATCCGTCTGGCAAGTATAAAAGGTTGACTTCAAGTTTACATTATAGTGACGATCACCATGTGGTATGGATGTGTGCTTAATCACATGGCATTTTGGTGAAATAAAAATGATAACGTTCTCCGACAGAGGCTGGTACTTTGCACTGCCTCCATTGCTTGTGTATACAGAAGTTGATGTTGAATATTGAGGAGGCTGGTACTGCATTTCATGTGTCTACAGAGGTTGATGTTGGGCCTTTAGGAGACTGGTAGTCTGGACACCCTCCATTTCAGATGTCTGCAGAGGTTGAAGTTGGACACACTGGCCTTGTTGAGACATCAGTACTGAACGAGACAATATATATTGTATTGTGCAAAAAGTTGTTTTGCACCATGGGTAAGGTAATTTTAGAGTAGGTCTTATGACTGTTTTTAGGTGAACAAGGCTGTCAAAAGGTCACACTCGACTGCTTGGGGTATTCTGTTGTACCTTGGCTCAAATATTAGAAACTAGGTTTGCAGTGGTAGTGGGTAACGATTAGGTAACCATGCGTGTATTCCAACACAAAAGTATTGTGTGTGTCAACATCCTTTATTCTATGTTTCTGTCATATTACCTCAAACCCTTCAAATAGAAGTGTGCATGGAATCATGGGAAGAAACGGTGTACATTGTCATGTAGTAACTGTCATAAAGGTGATTGACAGGTGATACTTGTTTACAACCCTGGAAAGACAATTGGAATCACTAGGTGTGATTGTGATTTACATAACAAAAGATGTTTACTACTGGTGTCTACTTACTTTCCTAGCAAGATAGCTGCTAGCAAGACCACATTCTATTTTTATTTATTTATTTATTTATTTATTTATTTATTTATTTATTTATTTATTTATTTATTTATTTATTTATTTATTTATTTATTTATTGCTTCCTTTTTTATAACAGGGGCTCACTATATAAATTAGGAGCTGCACCAAATAAAAAATCAAACATTTCACTCAAAGACTAATGAAAAAACTTTTGATAGATAAAAAGAAACTAAGTTACATGAACTAAAATAACAAAATATAACAACAACAAAAACATCTAAAAGTAATAAAAAAATAAGAAAACTAAAATATAAAGAAGTATTCTATTGTATTCTAATTAGCTCATGTGGAAACCCAGGTTGTGTACCCGAATTCATGCATATAAATAGGCTATACTGAGGGCAGTTAAGTTGATCATTTCTCCTGAGTACCTTGTGTGTTCCTGCTGCGTGAGACAAGTGATACAGGCTTCACTCATCATTCTGTGAAGACTTGTATGAACTGCTCTGCGATCTCCTGCTTTCAGCTGTGCCCTCCAGAATACCAGCCTTCCTCTGCAAGCAAGACTCCTGTATTTCTTCGTTGTTGTGTTGCAGAAGCCATTGACTGTCATTCATTTCTACATCCTGGAACCGTGAGTTATCACCAATGCACCCCTATTTTCGTGTATTTATTCATTGCACTTTTCTGTGCTTTGTTTCTTGTAATATTTTGAGAGGTTTTATGCCAGAAGCTTTAACTTGTGTATCATTCCTGTACTATTGCTTTGTCTACCCCATACTAGCAGTGAAATAACCCCCTGTCCAGTGTGAGTTCTGTGGGTGCCTTCTCATTAGAGATAAGCAGGCCTTACACTGTGACAGTCATGTTCTTCACCAGTCAGGGATCATGTATTTGGCCGAAGCCTCAAAATTAACCCTTCGCAGATTTCACCACGATTTACTGTATGTCGCACGCCCTCAAACGATTATAGGATTCACTTTGGCTCATTTGCAACACCCAATCAGAACTCACGAAAGAAACTGCACATTACTTGGCAAAGTTAAAATGGCGGAATCAAATAAACGTGTTGCTAGCTTTTTCTCTGAACGAGCTTACATAACATCAAAAGAAAGCACTTAGTTCTGTATCTGAGGAAAATGACGTGTTTGTCGCAAACACAGTCCCTCGAATGTGTTTCAATGAACACCGAATCGGGTAAGTCGATATGTTATCAGTTTCGACAGTTTTGTCAGTTTACTAAAACAGAGTTTGCACAATAGTTAGACATTCCATCGTCCTTATTCACTTGCCCACAAACAATTTTCAAAGTTGGAATAAGACATTTTGGAAACGTGTCAACGAATACAGACCTTCTGTTCTTGACTTCAGATAAATCTGCAAAGCCTACACGCCGCTATTGTTTTAATCCGTGTAGAGCTCTCCGATCTTCACATTTATGATACAGAAACGCTGATTGGTTGCACCAGCTCCTTGGCGCGCCCAATCAAATGACTCAATTTAGCTACAGTGAAATACAGCTTTTCCTAGCACGATCACGCACAGGTTCGTGGGCTGGTTATGAATGGCCGGCTTTAGCGAAACTGTCGATTCGGACGATGTGTGAAAGTGTGAGACGATCAATTGAATGTATTACGCTGTGTGCGTTTAATATGTTGCCATGTCGTGTTACGATCTCTAGTTGAAATATATACACCCACATGTCTATATCCCATGAAGCCTCTGTAATACATTGATTAGAGTTGGTGGCAATCATAAAACAGGTAGCCAGCAGAAATTCCTGCAAGACTTTAAAGGCGTATTTGCACACGAGAAAGCCTGATTTCAGATTGTTTTGTCAACCGTTTTGTTGAAGGGCAAACTGAATTCACTAGCGGATGCCCTGTCTTGTCAGAAGCGTCATGTTGACGCAAACTGGCAGACACCTACATTCACCGTTCAGTCAGCCATCCCATTCGTCAGCTGTCAGATCTAAAGTGTTTACATCGTGTACCTCATGTGACCTTGTTTTCATGTGGGCAAACCTGATCGACATCACAGATACAGTCATAGCTCTAAATGAATGTTCACAATATTACTGAGGTGTATAAGGAAGGTGTGTTCCTAACAACCATCACCGCACCCATAGCAACCAGTTTAAAGTGTTTTTATTTTATTTTATCCAATGTTCAGCTCTACTATTAGCATAGAGTATATTGTAACACGTATTAACAAGACTATTAAAAACAATTCAATTGTACAATTATTATGTATTAACTCATTTATCTCCCGGAGAAGATAAAAATGGCCATACATCACAAAACAAATGAATGAATGAATGAATAAAAAAAAACATGCTCCCAACTCATTCACGTTCGTTGCTCATAATGAAAATAATATTATAACTATCACTACTGGTTCTAAAATTAATTATATGAATTTCATATTTGTTAAATAAATGCAATTGATGTGACCTATATGCTGTGCAATTCATAACAAAGCATTTTTCATCTTCAACTTTGTGTACACTGGTCACATGTTCTGTTTGTTTGCCAGTTTCAAGTTTAAGACAATGATTACTAAATCTGGTTAAGGTCATTCGTAGCTGAACATTAGTGATATCAAAAAGGTAGCTTTCAGCTTTATACTTGTTCTTAAAGAGTCTGTATCTCCTTAAAGCGGAAGGGTCGTCACCTGCGCACGCGCGCGAATTGAGTCCCAAGCGACGATAACAATACACGCTAAAACGCAAAGGCTCATGGGTAGACGCTTGTTTGTCACGAATGACACGCTATGGCCATCTGACGCATGCGCAGGTGACAACTCCCCCGCTTTAACTTATTATATAATATTATACTTATTATATAATGCTTTTATATCGGGAATGGCGATTCGACAATTAAAATATTATGTCTAAACAGAGATGTAAGAGCTCGATGCTTTGGTGAGTTTGAAATAGTTTTGGCCAGCAGGTGCTCCGCTAGTTAAAATAGCCTAGCGTATCCAAATAATTCAACTATAGGAGTACCACTCTGGGAGTTTTGATCATGGCAAATGATGTTCGCTTCTTGTAGACTAAATTGTAATCTAAATAACGGCCGAAAATGTGACAAATTCGGATTTATGATTAAATGTATTCCAAGTACATTTTATATTCCCATTCACTATCGCCTTTATCTTCTGCAACTTGTCCTACAGCGATTTCATGACGTTTCACGGCAAGGTAGCATTTAATAAAATCTTCACCCAAAGCTTCGACCAAGATTGCGTCCTTTTCCAAAATATCCAAAGCGTCTCCAAGATTCTTTGGTATCTTTACAGCATTTGGTGGAATATTATGCGGATCGAAACTCTCTCCAGATATCGGTGGTAGAGTCAGTGGTAGTTTTCGCTGTATGCCATCAATACCAGAAGCAACGGTGGCAGCTAACAACAAGTATGGATTGGAGCCAGCTGCTCCTAATCGATTTTCAAAATACGTTCTCATTTCTCCATTAACCTTGACTCTCATGGGACATGTACGGTTATCCATCCCCCAGGCAGAGTGTATATTGTCATTGTATCGTTTGCGACAATTTACAGTTGGAGCAAAGAAACACGTAGCTGACGGGGCGTGTTCCAGAATCCCCGCCAACCAATTTTCCCCTATCGTTGATAACACATAACGTCCAGTTGAGTCATAGAAAAGGGGGCTTTTCTTCTCTTTGTCCCAGAGAGAGTGATTGAAGTGGCATCCGTTAAAAGTTCCTGCTGGGCACCCACATTCAGTGATTGACATGAAGGGTGACGTCATAAATGACGCAATAAAGCCTTTTTGTAGAGCCAATTCTTTGATGGATGTTTTAAAAGTAAACCCGTTATCGGCGCTCATTATTCCGAATGATGGTTTATACGGAAGTTCTAGTTGCCCAGGTGCATACTGGGATTCCATTGACTCAATGTCCAATCCCACTTTATGTAAATTGTTCATAATATCATACACAAGATCGATGTTGACGTTATTTCGAATTGTTGCCCTTGCCATCATATCCGTTGTCATGGGAACTTTCGTTACCTTATCGATAAGGTGAAACTGGTATTCACAAGATGACAGCAAACTGTACCCCATCTCAGCTAAACGTTCAAGTTGTTGCTTGGCAACGTGTCGCGGGTGAGCGAGAGTTGGTTTTCCATGCCAGGTGGAGTCTGTGAGAACCCGTGCTGTATTGGCACACCATGGCAACACTCGGAATGTGTCTAAATCAGGATAAAGAATGGCATCACCATTGTTTTTCTCTTCAATATACCCAGACCCCGATGCACGTCCACCTTGAGGATCAAGTCCCAGGATTCCAATATAAAACCCCAGACCATGGGTCACCTTCTCAACAAAATGGCGAGCGGGAATAGTTTTAGAACGAGCAATACCGTGGATGTCCGTTTGTTCGAACCTCACATAGTGGATGTTATTATCTTTTATAATCTTCTGTACCATATCCAGGTCCATGATGAATCAGTCAATATCTATGGGATTATGAAATAATAAATAATTAGGCTTATGTACGCAAAGTATTGTATGTAACTGTCTTGTCAACACAGTATTAATAGTATGATTCGTTAAAATGCGAATTGGAAGTTTCTTGATACATGTCCGTACATGGAAGTACACATGTACACGTATTATGGGTTTTAAATTGTTCATTTTGTCTGGATGGTCACCGAACAATTTTCTGTTTTTCCTGCATTATTTTCTGTGCTTGATTCTTTTTCATACCTTGCGGAAAAGTCAATAATATCATTGGTATGAATCTTAATATATTGTTAAATCATTTGAACAAATTGACATTTAATTTAGTACATTTTCTTTGTCGCATTGCATTGCTTATACGTACAGTGATGTGGTCGGTAGTACATGATTTTACTTTGTGCTTTTCACCATTTCCAAAGCCCTGTATGCAATAAAGTGATATGTGACAAACTACGAAAATATATTAGTGTGCGATACATATTGTTGCATTCTCATGTCAATTGCGTGATTATACGCCGTCAAAACACACCAGAAATATATGAAAACGCTGCGTTCAGTTTGGTTCCAAATTCCGATTTGCCATTGGTTAAACAAAACAATTTTACTTTGAGTCTTCTACCCCGACACGTTCCTGTCGACATCAAGCAACGGGACAAACGTAGATTACAGCCACTCTATCAAACAAGTGGTGGGCGGTACTCGCATTACGTTGACCGACTTCCATTGTACACTGAGTTGTCACCAAACCAGACACGTCTGACCTTTATACGCAACAACTAAACATGTCACATGTAAACGATGGCATGATAAGAATAAGCATGTCACAACACGTGTAGAGGGTCGACTAATTTAAAATTAATTACATTTATATTTTTGTATAAAGCACCACCACATATTGTTTTGCTTCTAGTTGGTTCTTTCAGACTCATTGCGAATACTAAATATAACACTCGACTAAGGTTCACATATGATTCACGGCCAGAAGTTTCATTCAACATAAGCTGTGCCGTCTATTTAAAGCCCTAAACAATATATAAGGAATTAGTGAGCTGGTGCATATATGTATCTACGGACGATGATTACGGCACAGACATATACGAAAATGACCTAACCAGCATCAATACATTAGATGACGTGTTCAGAAGAGCAGCTATAATTAAATACCGTTCATGTTTTAAATGACCATTGTCTTATTGGTAGCAGTAGAATAAAAGTGCAATATATGTGGAGAAATCAGACATACCTCTGCTGTTGTCGGCACTACTTGGTCAGCTTGGAAACTGTAACTCGAACTAAAGGTCATAGGTCACTGTGATACAAATAATGAATAATATGGTAACTAAGCGTGAATTGAATTAGTCACACACGTGATCATCGACTGACTGCGTTATTTTGAGGAGCTGAATTTAAGACTTTAAATATGCTCGTCATATTTTTGTCATTATGGGTTCGTACCATCAGGAAGCCGAATGACACAATATGGGGCTCCTAGGATTCTCCAAGATACAAAAGTCCGAAACGTCATGGAGAACGGTCAACATTTTCATACTGGTTTTTTTGGTGATATTAAAACTTCATTTGGTGATATTCAAAACTCAAAATTTTGCTCAATGACATGTGTCAGTATCCTTTATTCTATGTTTTTGTCATATTACCTCAAACCCTGCGAAGAGAAGTGTGCATGGAATCATGGGAAGAAACGGTGTGCATTGCCGTGTGATAATTGTCATAAAGGTGGTTGAGAGGTAATTTTCAACTCTAGAAGGACAGTTGGAATCTACCAGGTGTGCTTGTAATTTATATAAAAAAGAGTGTTTACAACTTTGAAAGGACAATTTGAATTTACCAGGTGTGTTGTTATTTGAATAACAAAATATGTTTATGATCTACTGAGTTGCCTACGTGACACAGCTGCTAGCAAGATTCTGATTGGCTCATGTGGAAACCCAGGTGGTGACACTGAATCGGGGCCATTTATGCGTATAAATTAGACAGACCGAGGACAGATGGGGTGCATCATTTCAACTTAGTACCCTGGGAATTAATACCAGTGACAACATGGCATATACTGCAGTAAATTGCCAAATATAACGGTATCGTCGATTGGCTGCTAACCATGTCACTCGGCTGGAAATCACCAGA